CGCTGTCACTCAGCCCAGCGCGCGTGTTTACGGAACTGCTCGCGGTCGGGAGGTGTCACGTGGTGCGCCTACGGCTCCTCCGGGCATTCCAGTCTGCGCGCCGTGCTGGCGATGCTGAGGTCCGGGTTCGAGGCCTCCCTCCGCCGCAGGCCGCCTTCCCGTAAAGCACCTCCTTTTCCTTTTGTGTCTCAGTTTCCCGTAGGGCAAAGCGAAAGGCCACGTCTCACATGTCCCACATAGCCTTAGAGTGAGATGGTTCATATGTGATCACATTTCAGCCCAGCCTAGATGTACGGCTGAGGCAAATTTATGCGCTAGTGAGGTACCTGACCGCCCCAGGGGCCCCACCAGGAGCCCCCAGCCAGTTGTTATGGCTGCAGGTCACCAAAAATCAGCCAAATCTGGGGCTTCCCCTGCTCAAAAGCAGTTCTTCAGAGTTGCCAGTGATCTTCTCCATTATCTTGGGGGCAAACCCAACAAATTTGTTACTTCCAACCCCCAAATCACAGGGGCCGTGAAAACAGGCTGCAGAGAAGATCGTTACGGCCTTAATCATGGAGAGGTTTGGGGCTCAGCAGGCTGCGAGCGATGCGCTCGGAGGCCTCCTGCAACGCGGCGGGACTCTCCATCCTGTGGTGTTTTCCTAGCGCGTGAGTAACCAGAGGCTGGCTAAAATGCGGGGAATATAATACATTTGTAAGGAACCGAGTTGCATTAGTTTCACTGCCAAAAGACCCCAACTTACTTTCTGGTTCAGTAAATGCGTCACTATCAACAGTTACAATAATGATGCTCTGTTGTTTGTCTTTTTGAAATGTCTACTGATTAGGATACTGGATTCTGTTACGGTTCCACACAGATATTTTTACAGATGCATTTTAGTAAAAAAAAAAATGTATTGGGTTTGCTTCTCTGTGCTTAGTTTGCTTTGCTTTGCTTAGTCTATGGTAGTGACTTAGTGCTACCTTGGAGCTCACGCTGACATTATTTGCACTGATGCTTCTTAACCTTGTAAACCTCTCCATCTACTTCTTTAAAAATGGGTGATAATGAAATCACAACGAGGATAGGTACTTGGAAATGAAGGCCTGTTCCTTCTCATCTTATCTGCATAGCACTGCTATGGATTTCACATAGTTCTCATGTTGTTAAAAGAGTGTGGACGGGTGTTTTATGTACATGGTGGGTTGAGTTCCCCCTGAAACGGTTATATGGCAAGCATTAAAACGGTTATACTTCAAGGATTATATTGCATTAAGGCGCTTATAGCCCTGGGCTCTCATTGCTTTTAATTGCTTTACATTTAAAGTCAATAAGTGAATAATGCAGCAGAATTTACCTAGGATTTAATGTTTCCTCAAATTGTGGTGGAAGTTGACATCACCAGGCTGCTACTCGCTCCCTGGTCTCCATCGTGATTCTCGCTTCTAATGGCGCCACCTAGTGATAAAAGCCATGAAGCAAAACTTGCAGTACACAGCACGCGGGAGAAACGTAACTCCAAAGAATATACAGCATATGGGTTTCTAAAGTAAACATACACAAATTTTGTTTTTTTGTTTTTTTTTTTTTACTTAAATGGCTTGAGGAATTTCAGATAAGAAGGAAGACTTCTGAAGGACAGCTGAGCACCTTTTCCTATGCACAATGCTGAAAGATCTTGATTTTTCTGATAATTTTTCGGGTAAGCATATAGTCCCAATTCAGCATATAGTCCCAGTTCTAGGTCAGTCAATACTGTGCGGTCCTGTTGTGCGCTCAGATTTCGGAAGCAGACTTCCAGTCTGGAGTCACAGGTTTTCCAAACAGACCAGTTTTCCTCAAAGCTGCACTCAAAAGTTCTCCTACAAATTATGCAAATTCACCTGTCTCATAAACAATAAATATAATTGTTTTTCATTTGCACCGTGGGCATTTTATATTGGGTTTATGGGATCACTATGCCATGTGAAGATATCTAAGTGGCTACAGCGTCTCCCCCGTATTGAGTTTTCTGTTCTTCTATTTTCTATTCCAGTCCTCACCCTTACGATTTCGGATAATAGAGAATTGAATATATTGGACATTTTGATCTGTTTTAAGTAGCTGCTCCCGTTAGCCGCTGCTGTTGCTAGCTACCGTCACTGTTTGGTATTTGCCTTGGTGCTCTGCGGCCAGTCTGTGGGCTGGCTACCGCTACTCTCGCACAGAGCAGTGTCTGTAAAGCTTGAACTGTTGTAGGAAGGCATCACTGACCTACACGATTATATGAACATCCTTTCCATAAAACGGACCCTTCCTGGGTGGCGTATTCTCCTTTCCCTAAGGTAAACAACAGAGAGCTCTGAACCCTCATTTTCCAGGGGCTGTTTAGTGCACGGCTGCAGCATTTGGAAACCCTTTAGGGTTCCCAGGCATATTGAGCGTTACAGCATTTTGCTGGCTCAGGCACAAGTAATAACTGCTGGAATTTACCTCAGCTGAAGGAAAAAGAAAAAGAAAGCACAAAGGTCTTTTTCATTTTTTAAAGAGGAGTGCCCCTCAATGTTACAGAACTGAAAGGGAAGTTAGGCAGTCTGGAGCTGGTGCAGCCACCAGGCTGTCTCTTACTCCCCAATGGATACCACCAGATTCTCAGAGCAGTAACAGCAAGCCCCTGGTAAGTTTGACACCAAGAAAATTAGCCGAGGAATCAATGACAACAAGCTCTAATGCTTTTTTAAATCAATTTTCAGCAGGCACGAACCAGTTCACCATCCCAGATCTTGAGGAAGGACTATCCTTTTCACTGTTCCCTGGCATACATCCAGTAGGGACTCCTTGTCCCTTCACTGTACGCACTCCTCAGTCCATTTAGCTCATGCACTAAATAGACAGACATAAACTAAATGGACAATAGTCTAAAACTTTTCTATCACCAGAAGGAGCTGCAAGGACTCATAAGGAGACCACCAAGTAACTCTATGCCTGGAGCAGAGAATCCGAGTACGTGCTGATCTTCCTTTCTCTCGTCCTTTTTGTTCTTTCTCTCATTTGTTCATTTGTCTTTGTTGAACTCATCCTCTGATGGACTTCATGGAGAGGATATTACAGGAGACTTGTTATTATCTTGCATTTCGGGGCCTCCTATTCTTCTTAAATGGAGGAGCATTCTTCCTAATTTTAGGAGAAATTCCTGCAAATGCTGAGTCTGCCCAGAAGCCCTGGCAGCTGCTGACTGAGTTTGACATGATTCTTATCATTTTTACTATCGCTCTTTAGCCAGTAGCAACAGATAAATTGACCTTAATGGTTATAATCGTAATTTCTCTGGACAGTGTGTTTGAGGATTCTAGTTCCATTCACATTTTTAAGAATTTTCATCTCAATTTAAAAGATTTTTTTCCCTAAATTTTAAAAGTTATATACAGCATAAATGTAATTTTCGGGGTAACTCTAAATGCTTTCTTTTTTTTTTTTTTAATTTGGCTTAGTTTTGTTAATAGTACAACTTTTCTCAGAGCCTAGAATTCACTCTTGCACAGAAGCCTTATTAAGGATGTAAATTGGGTTTATGAGGTCCTTAATCCTTGTTCTGGCTCTTTATACAGGATTGAATTTCACAGAGAGAGTGAATTTCAGACAAAAGAGTCCAATGGAGTTAACATTTTATCTCTGTTTGAAACACTGAGAGCTTTCTGGTCTCATGAGATTCTGAAATCATGTTTCATATACAAAAGGGTTTTTTGTGTGTTTTTTAGGATGGATCACAACTGCCAGAGAATGTGCATGTTTCCCTTGTCTGAAATGCCTTTGGGAGTTCTTCTTGTTCTATGATTTAAAAGTCCTAATAACTGATAAAGTGTGTAGTTTATTTTGCCATTTGTGTGCGGAAGTTAAAATCGCTTCTCATCGGAGCCTGAAGTGTATACAGTCTAATAGTAGCAGAGCAAATTGCAGAAAGTGGTTAAGGTTCAATATCACTTCTTATTATATAGATCGCCTATATTTTACTCCAGTTCCACTTAAGTATAACTCCATTTATTTCATTTACACTGTTGTAAGACTTAAGAAATGGCCTGCTCTTTCACACTCACGTAGGAGTATGAATTACAGTCTCCTATGTTGAAATAGACGGTTGAAGAGTAAATAGGTTTTGACATTTATCAGGTGCTGGTATAACAGCACAGCAGTCCTTTCTAGCGCTGGGAAGGTCCTGTTCACAGGGTATCGATGTTTAGAGAGCACGGGCCATAGCTGGACCACACTGATGTGCTGATTTTGGACCAAGAACAGCGGAAGGCATAGCTTACAAGCATCCACAAGAATAGCGTAAGGAAGGTCAGGATGTATGTACACTGAAAGGAGTGACGTTTTATTTCACTTTTAAGATTTTCACCTTCATTTTGATGTTGCTTTGACAATTTACTTCAAGCTTTTGGGTGGTTTGTTTGCTCTGTCGTGAACCAGATATCATTGTTTGGCAGCAGTTCTCTAGCTACAGTACAAACTCTTGCCAGGAAGAATATCATGAGTCATGATGTGTGACCAGAATAGCTATACTATTAAAATTGCCTACAGCACATGTAGTTCCACCCATAAAACTGCACTTCAGCTAGTCTGGTTTATTTAACTTGGGGCAGGAGAAACAAGGAATGCTTAGAATAAACTGTAGTGGCCAAAGTGTTTCTCTGCTTTTGTAAATTGAATCTACGCTAACTTTTTGCC